ACTTTTCCACATTTATGGCCAAGATTTTTTCATTGTAGTTCAACTCAAGCTTATTTCCTTATTCTTTGAGTGGCGACACATAAGACATTCAGCGAATCGACATGCGTGAACAAAAGTCGGAAGATGGAAAGGAAAGGAGGCTGCTTGACTACCGGGAGGCTTGGCGAAGATTTGGAAACAAAAGTTTTTCAGAAACTTCTTTCTCTCTAACACTCTCCCCTAAAATGATTTTTTTTACCCAGCAGCTTATTTCATCTCATCCAGCAAGCCGAGAAGTTTGACAAGGAGGGTGCAAGCAAGAGTGGGCGGTGGAGGAGTAAGTATCAAGTATCGACGAGATATGTAGAGATGATGTGACATGACAGAGGTAAAGGGGCAGTTAAAGATTGGAGGAGGCCATTTAGTTGGGGAAACTTTTACTTGAAAAGTAGTCACTTATTGAAATTTTTAGCAGGGTTGTCATTACGAGGCAAGTTTTTTAACCATTTAAAGAGGACAAGTAAAAGTCATGATGTCCATAATTCGTGTCACCAGGCGAGTTACCTTAATTCGTGAGGGAGCTTTATTTCTAAGGGATCATTATTCGTAACCAAAAATGCCAGTCAAATATGTTACTCCGTGACAACATTTTCACAAAAAATTTTAATTTCTAGCCCGACCCAAGGCTTATGTACCCGTGTTGCCCATCTGTACGATGATAATTCTTTTTAAAATTATCCGATCGACTTGATATTTTCCACACATATAGACCATCCAAATACACAACTCGAGTTCGAAGACTGGTTCGATCGGTCAAGTGGTTGGCCGGTAGGGGTCATATGGGTGTTGGGGTCAAGGGTAACGAAAATTCAAAATTTGCGTGAAAGTTTATAATGACTTGCAATGGAAGAATATAACGTGGAATTGAATAGATTTTTATCTTGAGGTACCCTATAGGGTAAATGTTAATCCTAAGTTATTTCTCGACTCCATACTTCAGCTGATTATATCAATTTTAAGAAATCGGTGTGGACCATCCCCTTAGGGTGACCATATTTTTCCCGACTAAAACCGGGACATATTTTGGCAAAAAAATTTTCAATAATATCTAGTGCTTGGCGAAAAAATTTTCAACAATATCTAGTGCTTGGCGAAAAAATTTTCAACAATATCTAGTGCTTGGCGAAAAAATTTTCAATAATATCTAGTGCTTGGCGAAAAAATTTTCAATAATATCTAGTGCTTGGCGATTCGAGTATAACCGAATTTTGAGAAAGAGCTAGGGTAGGAGATTAAGTGAATATTACATGCACGTTACTGGTATTTATGTGCTAAAATCTACTTTTTCATCAATATTTTTTTGCAAAAAGCGGAATAATTTAATTTTTTCCTGAGATTTTGATAAACCGGGACACTTTATCAAAACCGGGACATTTTTGGGACGCCGGGACAGGTTTTGAAAAGCGGGACATGTCCCGGCTAAATCGGGACGGATGGTCACCCTACATCCCCTAGTGTCCCTCTGCAAATTTTTGTTCATATTTAACTTCCTATTATTTCATGAGAAAGCAGTAAAGATCTCTGGTCCTAATTTCAGCTTTCCATGTTAATCCCTGAAAATTGGTGGGGGTCACCCCATAGGGTCCTTCCAGATTCCAATGTATATTCTTCCATGAAGAGCCATAAGAAAACCAAATGCCAAATTTCAGAACGATATAACGATTTTGAAAAATCAGTATGGGTCACCCAATAAGACCCCTCCAGATGAAAATTTTACCAATTTGAGAAAATATTTTTCTTTTAGTTACCCATAAGCAATCTTTCTACCAAATTTCAGTTCTATATTACGACTTTGCAAAATCAGTTGGGGTCCCTCACCATAGGGTTCCTCAAGATGAAAATTTTTCCAACTTGAACTCATTTTTATCTATTAGGAGCCATTAGCAACCTCTGTGCCAAATTTCAGCTTTCTACGACAATTTCGAAATTTTGGTGCATAATACCCACCCACCCAGATGACCCATACGGGTCAACCAGGGGACCGCTTTTGCCTATCTTCGAACTCGGTTCCTAACTTTGTCCAATATGCATCTGGTAAAAATTTCAAGTCAATCGGCCAACTCGTTCCAGAGTTATCTATAAACAGACGGACAGACGGACGGACGAACGGACATGACAATTACAGAAGCCCTGGTTCGGGCTAAATAACAAATGTCGACGTCACGAATTATGGCGAATTTGCCTGAGAACGACAAACGTCTACGTCACGAATTAAGGTAAGGTTTTCTGTGGCAACATATGTCGTCGTCACGGGTTATGGAGCGGATTTTGACGATGACATATGCCTTTGTCACGAATTATGGACAAGTCGCCAAAGCGACATATGCCACTTTCACAGATTAAATGGTTAAAAATGGTACTTGTCGTTTTCTTAAGTATGGCTACAAGATTTTAGCATGAAATCTTACGTTAAGTTGATGGTTTTGATATGTATGATTTCAAAAAAGCAAAATTCACGGTAACAATCGTGTGTCCAGTAAATTTCTATAAATTTCCATAAATTTCTGTCAGATAATTCCTACAATACTTTCTTATCTTATACCTTGGTTAAATAGAACTTATCCGTTGTAGGAGACGTTCATAGGGGGCAACCGTTGTACAAACCCCTTTCTAAACATTCTATGTATAGATACATACACGAATCTGTCTATATACGATCCTGCTGCTCCTGCTGCTTTCATCTTTTCCCTAAATACATGTCGAGGTCTTTTGATTTAATGCGTTCCGTATGGAAATATTGAATCGCCGGAGAAAGTGTGAACGAGAAGGCGGAGGTGAGGTGCAAAGTACACGCCGTAGAGTGAAAGTTGCCATAAATCTTTGTCATCATATTGCATCGGGGTAATATAAAGTATCATCATTCACCTTCCACCCTACGGATACTCATCGTATGGCATGGAGAAGAAGAGAAATTTATAGGAAGACGAGCATTTTCCATGCATACACACAGCGAGTCTCGTACTTTCTAATTCGACTAGTTCATACATGAAAACTTGGGTTTATTCACTAGGATTCTATTTTAATTATAAATTCATAACCCTGTTATTTCTACATATAAATTAAATTTCAGTCTTAAATATTGTTATACTTCTCAAAATTGTCCCCCTCCAATAATTGAGCAAGAAAAGCTCCCCGAAAAAAACTGGACGCACACAATAACCAATGAAAAGCGAATACAATGGGGGAAGAAATTATGATCTACGACCCGACATCCTCGGCCATCGGGCGAAAAGAATAAAAATCAGAGGGGACACACTACAAAAAGAGAAAAATGTCTCCATTTCACTGCTTTCTCTCTCTTATCCATTTTATCAGATGTCGAACGATTTTTTCGATTAACCATATCATTCTGGGTGTTATCACCTTGTTTGTCCCAACACGCGTTCAGTCAGTCCCCTCACCCTCCATCGCCACCCATGCTTCCTGAACCACTACTTGGGTGAGCTGTCGGACATGAAAGTTCACCACCACGGGCATGAACTGGGGGTAAATCGTTCACCTTATTTCAATGGGCAATACATATTCAACAAAATATGCGCGTTTAGCAAATATACGAACTATTTGTATACATATTTTTTTAGAGCAAGCGATAAACGCGGCAGTCATTCGTTTTTCTTGCATATCTTGACACTTGACGTTTAATCAGGTTAAACAATAATAAAATAGCGAACGGGAAAAAAAATCCGGCAACGAGGAAGAGAGGGGGTGAAAGCAAAAGGCTGAGAGTGTATCACAAGCTGGCTCGATGAGCGAGTAGACAGATCATCAGTCACAAGTGTCGGATCCCAAATATGATAAGAGCTGCATAGCTGTTTTTTTCCTACTTTCTCCACTTCCTGAAAATATAATAAATAGAAAAGTAGAACTGACAATGCGTGCAGTATGCAGTATTTAGCAGCAAATGGATGCATGCAGCCTGTTTAATGGCAGGGCGTGCAAAATTTATCCTTTAATAATTTTGCGTACAATTTGCAAATCGTAAATGAACACTTTCATGCAAATATTAATGAATCAATATTTGCAATACAAACTATATAAACTTTGCTTCATAACGCCAGAAATTATTTTTTCGCGCACATACATTTTGTTTTGCTTCTCTTTTCCCGTATCGTGGCTTATGTCATGCTCGCCTCAGCGATAACTCTTTTTAAACTTATCTGATCGAATGTTAACCAAAAAAATCAGCATGAGTTTTTTATTTGTTTTGCAGATTTTTCGTACGCTTTAGATACATGAATATTTCCGTTGGTAGCTTATACTACATATTATCTGCCAGATAAGTATTTGCTTATTTGAAGAAGTGAAAGTTGTACGTGGAGGAACGGATGATATGAAATATTGGCCAGAGGGTGTTATGCTTGAAGAAGTAGCGGGGATCGGATCTCACAATTTTCTTCCCTTCCTCTCCACCAACCAACCAACAAGGTAGTTAGGGAGGAGACTGGAAGAGATTAAGAAGTAAAACTTTTTAATGAATCACGGCAAGGCACAAGTTTTGAATTTCGGAATTCAGGAATATGCAAATCTACTTAGAGACACGAATCGCAAGAAGATGCTCATTTGAGTAAGTTCTGCTGCTGCTGGGTTTAGTCAGAAGTGAAATTTCTGGAAAAGTGTTCTTTCAGTTTCATGCACGCGGAATTATTCGGGTGTGCAGAGTTATTCACTGTAGCGATTTAAAGGGAAAAGGGCTTGGGTTATATTACTCCATACATTCACAACTTATTGCAACACCAAAAAAGTTTCATTTTCCTCTCTCATCAGCAATTGATATTTCATGTCCAATTCTAAGCAGAGAGTGAAATTGAGTTAAAGACGTAGTTTCCCAAACAAGAAATAAACTCCTCGGATAGCCGAATTTGAGCCGTGTTGATTTGAACTTATCTCAATCGGAGAAAGGTAAAGAAAAAGTTTGTAATTTTTCTACAAATAAAAATAATGAGAACGAGAATACATTAAAATACAGATATTCGACAACTCTTGTAGCTTTAATTTTAATATTCTGAATCATTTGCATATTTACAACGAGTTGTTTAAATTTGAGCCGAATAATTTTTCTCAATATTTACGCCACAGCTATCTTGAGGGCCTGATCAATGTCTTCAATCAAGGCTTGAGCACCCTCCAGCCCAACCGAAAGGCGAAGAAAGTTGTCCGTGATTCCCAACCGATCCCTTTCTTCTTGGGAAAGCTGAATGTGACTCATTTTCGCCCTATGGAGTTGCACATGAATCATCACATAAATTGTGAAATAGGCATTCGTCACATCACAAATCATGAACAAAACTCACGGAATGGTGACCAAGCTGATGTCTGCACCAAGAGACGGCGCTCTTTTAATCACTTTCACGCTTTCCATGAATTTTGCAGCTTCCTTGAATCCACCCTTGATGTAGAAGCCAATCATTCCTGAATGACCTTTTTGCTGCTTTATGGCTAGTTGATGTTGAGGGTGCGACTTTAGTCCTGCATATTTTTTGGAAGTAAATGTATAAATATGGTTAATTACTGATAATAAGTAACTATATGACAGTTGCATACCAGGATGAACGACTTTCTCAACGAGGGGATGAGAATCCAAAAATGTGGCAACTTTCACCGCATTTCGAGAATGCTTTTCCAATCTTAAATGAAGCGTTTTGAGACTACGAATAGCTAAGTAGCAGCAAAAGGGTGACGGAATTCCTCCCCATACTGGAAATATTTTCAGTTAATTGTATGCATGTCAACTACTTATCTATCTATATATTGGGCTTATCAATTACTACCTTCCTGACTCCGCTTAATGCTCTTGTACAATTCGGGTTTATTCATAGTTACCATTCCCCCAATGATATCAGCATGACCTCCAATATACTTTGACGTGGAGTAGAGTACCAAATCTGCCCCCAGTTTGAGACAATCTTGCAGGATTGGGGTCAGAAATGTGTTATCAACGACTACTGCAATTTTTGAGTTGATGTCGTGAGCCTTTTTAGAAATTTCGCCAATATCCAAGATTCGAAGATCGGGGTTGGAAGGTGACTCCAAATATACAAGCTGTACGGATTAAGTATGAGAACTTGTTAATATCCAAATCCTCTCTTAAAACGGATAATGACTTTCATTTACCTTAGTATTCGGCTTGATAAGCTTGATAATCTCGTCGGTTTTAATTGTGTCAAAAAAGTCGACCGTTATCCCATATTTTCCTGCTTCTCGTAGTATCAGAGTCGAACCACCGTACAAGGCAATGGATGACACGACATGGTCACCTTTCTCCAAGGAGAGAATGATTGCGCCAAGTCCAGCCACGCCAGACCCGAATGCCAATGCTGATTGTGCAAATTTTTACTCATGCAAATTTTTACTGATTATTATAGCTGAACCAGATTAAAATTTTACCATATTTTGACCCTTCCAATGTAGCAAAATATTGCTCGTAATGATTTCTTGTGGGATTTCCGTGTCGCCCATATTCGAAGATTTCCTACAACAAACGTTATGAAATTTATATTGTATTTGTAAAGTATACTAAAATTAACCTCTGATATGGGTTCAGGGGAACCAGCTTCAAAACCATTTTCCAAACAGTTAGCCCCTGATCCCCGGAGGAGAAAGTTGCTCGAGGTAACAATTGGTGTCACAATACATTTTGACGAAAATTTATTAGGAGTCGAACTCTCAGTAATTGCCAATGTTTCCAATTCAGACGGAAAATCTTCCCAACCAGAAAATTCCATGATTACAATATCCTCGTAGAACTAGTTAAATCCTGCCAATTTGGACTTGAAAGCAACACGTAGACGGAAAATTATGGGCTAATTTATGTATAAATACTTTTCGGTTGCATCATATTTGTGTCTCCAAGCTGTCAAATAAACATGAATAATTCGACCTTGTCTCATCAGAAAAACAGTTTAGCTACTCAATATCACTGACATATGGCCTCACGATCGATTGCTTGAGAACTTTGCCCTTTTGTCACTTCTCTTAAAAGGAGCTGGATGGAAAGTGTTGTAATTATCTCAACTCAATTCATCTCCAATCTCAAATTAGGTATCAATGTGTGAGTTATTACTGGTTTCTTGATTCGTTGAGATTGTTATCGCCAATTTAAGCTCCTTGAATTCCCAAAACTTCGGTAATAATAGGCGTGGTAATAATAACATTTTTACAAAATTACGGCACCCAAAGATCCTTGAAGATTTGATCTCCTTTATGATCTTTAATGAATTGAGACGAAAGACCAACTTTGTATGAAAACCACTCTTCTACTTTTCAATCTTAATTGTCCCCATTCACGACATCACACCTCATTTGTGGCATTATTACACTCTTCACCCACTCGAGACCCCGTTGCATCTACGTATAACACATGTATGATAATCTATGATGCCCCCTTCATTCTGGAACCTCATCTAATTGCCCCCGATTTGGTTAGTCATTAAATGGAGCCATTATCACTCTTAATGATCATCGTCACCATCTTCCACCCACCTCAAGAACCTACCAAGATATTCTAATCGTCAATCTTCATCCTCCTTTGTCTTGATGCAGAAGAAGTGGTAATGTAATTTTCGTGATGGAAAACTTTGCCAAAATTTTAATGACGAAATTTTATGCAGCTTTTCTCAAATGTGCCAACATGTTTGTCAACTATGCAGGATTCCTTTCACAATTTAGAAAAGAGACGCCGAGTAGAAAGGTTTTTTTCTTTCTTTCTCTGACGCACAAAATTCCAAAAAAACTTCCATTCACAAAAAAACAGCTTGACGGTTACCTGCCTGACTTCAACTTTTGCTAACAATACCCGTAACGAGGTAACCATCACCTCTCTACTCGTGGTAGCGGAGGGGATCCGCCTGCCATGTGACACCACGTGTGTCACACGCCAACTTTAAGGAGACAAATAAATGAAACGGAAGTCTCTAGAGATGATGTGAATTTCTTCCACCAGGACAAAAAATAAAACGATATTAAAAAGGTGAGGGCAGGTACATGCATACTTCCAAAGCGTGAAATTGAGCCGCTCTAAATGTCACTCAGCCTTTGTTGTGTTTTTGCTGGGTTGTAGCTTCTTTTGCATTCTTGTTACGGTGCGTGACATGATCCGTCCGTGTCAAAGTTAGTGAAATGTACAGACGTGTACCAAACTTTTAAGATATGTGTGGTGCTACATTGTATTTGACAAAGATTTGTTTTGGTTTTTGCATTCATGAATTCTGTAGGGATTTGGGAAACAAATTGTATACATGCTTTCCCATATATTTAAAATTTACATTCTAGCCTCGAATAGATTTACAGTGTAATTTCATACTCTTCTTTCTCTGAGAACGTAATCTCATATTCCGTTATTGTGAATTCTTCCCTCAAGTTCTCGAAAGGAAACGACTCCTGAATTGGGATATTTTTTGCATAGGAAAAAAAGTCAAATAATCAAAATTCAACTCGTTGATTGACCTGAATAGCTTTCTTCTTCCCTCTGCCAAATCAAAAATGAGCAAAATGAGAAATGTGATTTGAAAATTTTATTAAATCTTTTGTGCAAATATTCCAAATTATGATGAATTGCAAACGTGACGAGCTTACCAAGGAAGCGAGTACAAGAGAGTGCCAGAGTTCATTTTTAGAATACTAAATTAAAATTTTGGAGGGTAGTAAAATATGAGAAAGATATGAAAAGTCGAATTCTCCCTGTAACTTAACGACAGGCTTTTCCACACGTAAGACTAACCACAGCCAAAAAATAATAAAATCTAGTCGTGCCCTAATCTGACGATTTCTAAAAAAGGCAATCATCGTTTGGTTTTTCAAGGAAATTTTACATATAACAAATCGACGACCTTACAGTGACTTGAATTCAGTTTCTCTTAGCTTTCTCCTAGCTTTCTCTCCATAATAAGAGTCATTCATTCAACTTTGACTTTTCCAAATAAGAACAGCTCACATATTTATCAACGAGAGTGAAAGTTGAGCTGAGAAGATTTTCTGGAAAGCTCATTTAATCGAGCTTTCCTTCTTCTCATATTCTTGAAGAGATTTCTTTGTTATTTATTTTAATGCATTCTTCATCTCTTCTCAAATATAATTTGCTCCTGACTACAATTAATTAAATTCAATGGTCTACTCGGCCGAATTGTCCTGCGCTTAATACACATTTTCAGTTATATGAAATTCATCTCCTACTCGCTGGACTTTATATTTATGTATCTGGTCATCGAGGCTTTATTAGTAACTCCTACTACAAAATATGAAATTGAATCAGCCAAGTTTTCTATACCCCACTTCTGATTGAATTAGGAAGAGGATTAGGACTGATATTAAATCCAGATGAAGTTGACGAATGAATGCATTTCATCAAAGCGTCTCAATTCCGATGTGAATCAAAACTTTGAAAGTTATACATAAAGGAAACTCTAGAAAATTAGGGGAAACTCTTGAGTGAATGGAATGACCTAAAGTTGTGCTGTGGTTTTAGAATACGTAGACAGGATTGCTAACTTTGGCATGATTCAGTCTCTTCTCCATTCCTACCAGTCATATACTTAATGAGAAAAATTAGTCGAGAAATTATCAGCAGATTTGCCTCTTTGTCGCTCACAACTCTTTACATAAAAGGGGTTCGAAATTACAAAATTACAATCTTGGCCCTCGAATTTCCGCACCAACCACTTTCTCCTCACAGTAATGAAACTTATCCGGAATACTACTGATGAAATTTCACATATGAATTTCCAAAAAGCAGAAACATGAAAATTTTACGTTTCAGCAATGTGTTTCATTCTCGTCGGTCGCAATCTTCGCAAGAAAATGAATATTCTCCTCCTCCCAATTTTTACTCGGGCAATAAGAAAGATCCGACTTTATTGGGCTTTCACTTGGTCTACATACTTACATTTTTGCAATATTTGATTCAAATTGCACCCTGTGTTCTATTGATCCACCATTGTTGACCAAGCTAAACTATTCATGCATATGTTGGCGTGTGGGACACACAAAAATGAAAGTTTCTTGTTATGACTTTGAAACCAGATTTGATAACAGCCGTTCTTCAAACGTGGCTGAGATAGATATACAACTTGTTTGTTTGCCAAAAGTGAAATGTTGTCCAACTATAGTTCAACCAGATATTGCAAAAGTTTTCTAGTTTTTTGAATCCTCTGTAGAGCAATTTCTTCCTCTCTCTCAGTCCGAACACAGTTTGGCAATTCAGCTCTCATCTCTCCAAGTATCACATAACATCCAATGTGTTGCAAATCTCGGCTGATAAATGCAATTTAAATTTTGATGCGTGCAAGAAACAAAGAAGAGCAAAAACTTTATGCTATGCAGATAGACAGCAGCCCAGTCGTTATTCCTTCCAAAAAGTTATAAGGCTATTGTCGTTCGTGTCCCACATCATCACAAAATAGTATTCCCAGCAAAACTTTATCTTGAATCTTTTAACGTTCTCAAGGATAAAGGGTTGTTTTGTTTTAACAGAAATGGAGCATTGTGCTAGAATAATGTTATTATTATCTCGCCTCGACCGTAGCGTAGTTTTAATGTATTGTTACATTTAACTCTGATACAGAAATATTTATGCAGTGTTACGTTGAGCCAATAATTTGGGTGCCGGTAAGTAAGAAGTAGTATTTTAAATATTCATATATAACATTATGCAAAGATGGAGAAACTTTGTTATTTTACGGTTGGAAATTTTCTGCCATCTTTTTTTTTGCTGCGTAAAAATCTAATATTAATTTTAAGTGGTACGTACCTATTTCAAATTGAGACTTTTGTGAATATTTTTATGAAACATTATTTACCTTTCCTGCCAACTCGAGCAGATTATGATCACACGAATTTACGAAAAGTTTATTCAGAAATTATGAAAAAAACTCTCTTTTGAAGCAAGTCGAGTCATATTTGAACCGGACTTGCAAATTTAATTTGTTTGCAAAGCGATGGAGAAACATGGAGAAATGTTTCCACGTCTATTCGAGCGTATTGGAAAACTAATTGAATGAAACTCATAGCAAAATCATTCAGCCATGAATTTATGGCAAATGCATAGCTGACTGCACCCAAGCAATTACAAATTGTGAAAATTTGCATTAATTTGGTGAATTAAATTTGATAATGATTACGGAACCCGGTGTAGTAATGAATACGTAATGTTACGTAAGCACAGCTTGGCAAAAAGTGAAAGCAAATAATAAATAAATTACTTGCATAACAAAACGTGTATAAATAGAACAGCTGTACTTGATTCTCAAAGATTTACCTAAAAAGATCTCTTAAACAAAGCACCTGGCAATCTTTTATGACAGGGATACGAGTACACTTTGACCTTATCCGAGTGAAAGTACAAAGTCTGCGTGCTAAACAGAAAGTTCAGACGAGATGATGAGATGGACTGCTCTTTGAAGTCGAGAACCAACCAACCAACCTTCTCTTCTTGTGACTTTGTATTTCAGAAAAGAAAACTGATGAGTTTCTTATTCACACATACACGAGTTTACCTTTCCATTTTGTCAGGATTCTCATTTCCAGGCATACAAATTGTGCAATATGCTTATCCACCAGCGGCACTACATTTTTTCGCCGGTTGAATCACACAACAAGAATCAAATAACGACGTGAAGGTGTAATTGCGTTGGTTGGTGATGGGAAAGTTGTTAACTTTTCTTGTATATTTCTCTCTTCGTGGGATCTATTTCAGATTTATGTATAGCGTTGAAACTAGATATCCTTTCCTTTTCGTGCATAGCTCATCTGCTGTGTGGTGTGGCCTACTGCTAGTTCTCATGCTGGATTGGCGACCCAAACTTACTCGCTATTCTATCCAGTCTCAGAATTAATTATTCATTTTCCATCTCACTTTACGTCTTATTACATACTTCAAAGGAAAATTAAAGCAGCCCAGAAGGCGTCTTCTTCTCCTCACGAGTTGGCCTATATATTCCGCATCCAGAGAAGAAGAAATGGAGCTCCATCCACTTCAAGAAGTCTCCAAAAGCCCACAAGTTTCACATGCAAAGTCTGCAAGACGACGTGCCAGGTTGGTTGGAATGAAATAGAAAGACTCGAAACTTAAGAAGGTCTCTGCTGGTTGTGTGTGAAGGATTTAACTTTGAAATCACGGAGTCCTGATTCATCAACAACTTTCTCACGTTGCCTGTTAGTTCTTAATAGATCTCGTTCTCTTCTTGGAAATCGGAATTTTAACGTAATTAAATTGCAGGAAACGTTGCGAATTTCTGGAAATCTTTCATGCAAATATTTTATCCTGTATATTATTATTATTTATTATCACTTTGCATAATAACCCTTTCCAACATGTAGATAGGGTCAAAGAAAAGGATAAATAAATGAGGACGACAACCAAGCAAATATCACGTTTTCAGAAATGTGTCACTCACCAACATCACGTACAATTTGTGTATCTATCCAACTCGGAAAGAGTAAACCTTGTAAAAAAACTTGTCAAATTCAATTTCAAATTGTCGAACTTTCATCTGTCCATTCTCAAAAGTCCGTGTCCTTCCCCTCTCCGCTCTGTCTCTGTCACCTGAAGAAATATAAAGCCCACCAGAGACATGAATAAATTCCATGTGATACAAAATGCAATTCCCAACTCAGTCAGTACATGGATAAGTTGTCCAATACTTGTACATTTGTCGAAGAAAAAGCAAGTGACAGCAAGATTCAAGATCAATCCCCTTTCAATCCTTACAACACGGAGAGACTCATGCAGATGGGTATCAGAACTGTCATCCCATCTTTCCCTGATGCAATCAAGAACACGATCGGGATCGAAACCAAGTCCATTGGGACATGAGGGATGCGAAGAACTGTGTGTGCAAACCTTGCCTGTGCTTTCACTACATTACTGCATATTTCCTGCTGCATGGATATTACTACTTATTCAGAGAAAATATCTTCTTGTTCGTTCAAAAATTATTCAACTTTTCATAATATGCATCTTGGCAATCACGATTGTTATTTGACTCACACCGGCTCATTAGCACAAACTGGGATTTATCCTACATATCTAGAGCAGCGCAATCTATTTATAGGTATACGTGACATTGACGTAGATCGTCCCAAATATGAGAGAGTGATCCAACTCGAAAAATCCTCCAAGACCAAGAATCAGAAATTCCGAAATGTGCGACGACGGTGACACAGCTGACGCCACATCGAAACCGTTCCCTCCTTAGTTTCTTAGTATCCGAATTAAGTAGAATTTTCTCTCCTAGTTTGCTTTCACTTCATTCAAGGAACGACTTTCTCTCTCATCCTCCCCATCCACACAATCAGATCGGATGCAATTCAAATCTATCCAGCTGCATCTCCCACATCCTATCAGCATCTGAGAGATGCCAGCAGTCTGGTGTGGTGTCTCGTGTTCGGAATAAACTTGGTCGTGTCTCTTCTCATATACCGATCCGCATATTACGGGTGGAAGATATGCATATAAATATATACGAAATTTGGTGAAACGATACTCCTCCAACCACCCACACTTTCTTTTCTTTATTGAGTCCCAACCAAGGGAAATAAATTGAAACGAAAACTAAAAACCAGCTTTGATCTTGAAAAACTTGAAACAGAAACCGAACGCAATTTTGAACACAATCGACATACGTATCACGCAACAACCACGCGTTTCAAGAAAAAACTAAACATTTCACAAAAGAGGAGGAAATGTTCACCTTTAGGAATACTCTCCCAAATAAGAAAAGATAGCAAACCGACACAGAAAATTGAAATTGAAGCACAATATTTTTCTCGTATAGTTCCAATCCAACAGATGCTGAGACACGAATCTGAAGAATTTCTCAAGAGAATCTAATCCACTCTCCACAATATTTTCTTGTATTCATGCATTCCCTTGGTATTCGTATTGGTTTCTTAGACTCATTTCAAGGCAAACGCACCGGCACTTTTACCGGAAATAGACTCGATATTGCTTAGCTTTCACTGAAAAGAGGAAAAACTTAAACTTAATCGGACACACGACCATACACACACCGCACTTTTTGCAATTCACGTGCATGCAATGCAATACAGCAAGATGTTACCTACCTCATTTCATTTCAGCCACTTTCACCACATGCAGCAGCAGATATGTATCAGATCAGGTCGGTTTTATACCCTCCATGGCTAAAAGTCTCAACATAATCTCGTCACAGAAAAGACTAAAAGACTTTTGCACGAAACATTCCCAAACTTTCATTTACACGCACATTTTCTATAAAGTTACTCATCTAATCTTATCATTCTTCTTATCACAGACAGATGCATCTAGACACACACCTTATCCTCTTCTCAAAATAAGTCCTAGTCTTACTTATACATGGTTAGGAGGAGATGAAGGAAAGCTGCTTAACTTTATTGGCAAGAGAAGAGTAGTAGTGGGTGGAATTAAATAATTAAATACAAAAAAGAGATTCTCCCTCAAACTGACAACTACTGCGTTATCACTGGATTTTCTTTTTCTTGACAAAAAATATAGGTACTTAAAATTTTGTGTAGCTACACAACTTTCTCTTGTCCAGTACACAGTACAAAGATGATTTTAGTTTAGATTTTCTTATTTAGTCCCATAAGTTTCTGACGTGATTTTTGAGCTGTTTAGATCCTGCTAAAAATTAGGATAAATTGGACACAACAATAATGAAAACATAACATTTGGAGTATAATAATGGGAGGATCTCAATTTCCCCATTGTTACAGCGTGCAGCCGTCTCACAATGTCCCAATCTGCAGGGAAATTCGATCGAGTACTTCGTCAGCAGCGTATTATTCCACACGTGTTGACATGTTATTTATAAATAACATATAAAATTTGTTTAGAAATTAGTTTAGAAATTAAACCGGTGTACTTATGAATTAATATTTTGGATAAAGTGAAGGGACCTTGTCAAATATCAACCACTGACGGAGAAATAGGGTTCCAATTCTTAGGTAAGTTGAAAGAAATATTATTCTGTGGGAATACATAAAGCTTGTAAAAATAAATGTCTCATCTCAAGTATTCTCAAGAACATTTGAATTATTCAAACAATTAAAATTTGATGACTATCTTAAAATCATTTTACAGACAGAACCACAAGAATTCCACCAATTAGATATGGCGTCAAATGCACAGAATTTAACTAAACGTCGGCGAGTCGCCACTGCTCGAACTTCTGGGATTACAGTCGCTCTTTTGGCGACTCTAAAAAAGGAGAAGGAGAAAGGAATGCAAAAGGTAATAAGCATAAATCATATGTTAGCGATTCTGTCTTATAAGTTGTATAATTTGTATAACTAGTAATTATTTGTTTTGCTTCAGGCGGAGATTGAAGAAAACCAGATTCGGATGCGAGCCCGCAGAGAAAGAAGGAAAGTTCTTGAAAAGCATGGGCTCGAATATTATTCTGATGAGGAGGAAATGAAAAAGAGGTATCATCAAGATACTGACCTGGGCGAATATATGGATTTCGAGTTGGAGGATGACGATTGCTTTGTTGAGAAACAAGTTCCATTATCACCTGTTGTCGACAAGATCAAGATCAAGACTGAGATCAAGACTGAGGCTGAGGTCAAATTTGAGGAGGACGAGCTTGAAATGGATGACTTATTTATTGAAAAGCGAGAACCTTCTGAAGAAATCACAGGGAAATCAGAATCTTCTCCAGAAGTGGACCGACAAGAGGAAGTTCAGTCTACATCAAATCAAGCAATTGGTACAAATGACCAAACGAAGAAAACAATTACGAGATGCACCCTTTATCGCACGTTGGATCCCCGAAATTATAATGCAAATGCGATTCTGAAGTGTCCTCTTTGCTTGGAACGAGGCGAAATGCGGTTATATGGCACCGAAGACGCCCTGCTGGAACACATGGTCCTGAGACATCAGAATGACATCGACTAAATGGACGTAATTGCAAAATTTATTTACCCAATTTTGAAGAAAATGTCAAAACAATGACTTTCGTTAGAAGTTGATAAACTATAATTAATTATACAAATATTGTTCTCTGTTGTTAAATCTTTTTAGATTAGTTAGACTATTTAGAATTTCGTGGTATTAATCAATTCAAATGGTTTTATCCTTGAATAAAAATGTATGGAATGAATTTATCACATACGATTCTGGTCAAACTTACAAGTTTTAGGTTCAAATTGGTTCAATTGCATCCATATCAGAATGGTAATTTAAACATGTATAAACAGCTCATAATTAAAAGAACATGCATTTATTTAACTCGCGAGCTAACAATAAGTACGTACTACAATTAAATTATTCCACATTCTTGCCCTCATTTAAGTCTTTCCATTCCTTAATTCCAAGCGCATGATTTTTCTTCAGACAAGCTTATCAAATCCAAATCATGCACTACTTCACATTTCACATGCATTTTACTGATTGTTGTTTTTGTCTAGTGCGAAACCTTACACTCGAATGAGCCTGCCATGCATATACGTGTTACCAACATTTTGTGGCATTTTTGATCCGGATGGATGGATACTTGGAGAAATAGGGAAAGATTGAATAATAGAAATGCCGTCTCATCCGAAATCTGAAGAGAAAGTGGAAAGATCATCAAGGCGTAGTAAGAACTAAGAAGTAGAGACGGCGACATGCAAGGAAATCCAAATCTCTCCATTGAATGTTTCGGCATGCATGACTGCCACGGATAAAGCTGACGAGGAGGACACGACCAAACCAAAGTGGGGACGAAGATGTCGACTTTGTCATCTGCTGACTTATACATACATCCATCCTGTACTTCTTCTTCGAGGTATTATATAATGCTTGATGATGATGATATCGGAATTTGTTGGAAATGTACAACTGAACTTTGACTTGGGATGACGAGAATTTTGAATCATGAGCACCATATCCTCCACCAAGAGAGAGCTTGTCTTAAAAAAGCGATTTCCATGTGACGAGGCGAGTTGATGGGATATCTGCCGTGAATCCTGAATTTCTTGGTTATAAAACCTTTGTAAAACACTACTCTCTCTCTGCTTTATACAGTTCTCACACGTATGGATCAACTCTACATTTCCGAAATCTTGTCGTATTTGTCATCCGGACAAAAAAGGATGTGGAATGATGGGTTTCGATATATGTACGATGCCATTTCTTTGTCTTAATGTGATTCACCAGCGGGTGGCTTGGCTGAACCAAAGGGATTCAAGAATTCTACTTGACGTTTTTGAAGAATGTCACTCCAATCTTACTGATATTTCTCTCTGTAAGGATCACATATGGGTTCGCAAGCAGGAGGAAGTAAGTCATAGCTCATCGTTTCATGGCGAAAAGAAGTAAAAAAAAGAACTATCCTTTCTTCCGATACGGAGGACCTGATTTGGCTGCTGGTACATTTAGTCTTCTTGTCTTCACCTCATCAAGTACCAGACTCGTTACTGCCGTGAGTGCTACTCGTCGCTACCCCTTCCTCTTGCCAAGAGAAAGATTGATTGATTCTTTCTCTACTTTTACTTAGCTGTGCTTATTCATGGAGAAAACTACGAGTTTTTCCTAGATGACTTTTTTTATCAAGTTTGAAACATGCTGAAGGTAAAAGAAAGCCTACTTTTTTTTACCTATTGTGACATGCATGATGGCAAATGATCACTTTGGTCAGATGCTAATCACATACATACATAAGCACAAAGTAGGACGATAAATTTCTTAATGCAGGCTAAACTATCGCTATAAATCAGGAAGCAGCAGGACAAATAGGACACACATGAGATGAAATATATGCCCGTCTTGTTACACAAGGAGACAAATGTCTTGTTGTGAATACAGTATTTTGTTGCGCAATTACGTGATAAAATTGGAAATTGGAGAAAGTGGATGTGATGTGAAGGGAGGTGAAATAACTTTTCCGGTCTCGTGTCCCCTCTCCTCTCACTCGGCGTCTGCCTGCCGTGCCTGTCTCTTTGGGAGATGAATTGTCTGTGTGTGGTATGCAAAGCATGAATATCAATCCCCTTGTTCATTTCATCCCTTTGATCGTCCAATCCCCAAAATCTAGATTTGATTGTCACATTCATGTCAGTTTAAAATCCTACTTTCAATACGCCTTTCTCTGCGGGATTTTGGGCAACAATTTCGCATGCGTTTCTTCCTACAATAATATTGGTTCATGATGAATTATATTTCCATCGGTGGTAATCTGGACGCTGACTGTTTTGAAGAAGATCAAGACTGGAATGTAGAAATTTGTATAACTTTCAAGAGAAAAAAGAACAATAAACAATTTTTTGGACACAAATAACACATTTTGCTCACTTTGAGGGGGAGTTTAGCCTCGCATTAAATAAACCAGAGGCCAATTATTGAATTGGAAGGGAAGACCTTGCGTGTCTGCCTAATTCAAAATTTCTTTGCCCTGTGGGTGTAGATATAAATAAATAAATAAGGTATTCGAGAGAGAGAGTGAGCCTAATATGGAAAAGAGGGACTGATCCGAATCTTCTTCTCTGGTCGGTTTCTCTCTCTGTGTGTGGTTTCCGTTGACACTTTTCAACCCCGGTTTTGAATTATGAGGGAGAAGCACTCAGCTTGAATTGGTTCTGAAACAGAGAGGTAATAATTCGCAATGCTTAAATAAAGTAGAGGAATCCCGAACAAATAAACCTCCTCCCTTTTAATGCCCCACACATACATATAGCGTTCGTATTTCGTATTGTTTGTTTCTTTGTATTGTGCTTCCATACTTTGCCCCCTTTCAATTTCCATATCATGAACATTTATACAGAGATATTTTCATCACTACCATTTCTCTCTGTGGGAGGAAAGAGATAGTACTAATATGTAGATGAGGGATATAAGTCATCCCTCTTTGGGAACTCGACCCTGAGGCAATAAATGAGCTTAAGTTAAGCCCTAATACTCAACTTAATAATTATGTTTTCTACTAATGCACCCACCACGTGCGTGGCGTGCATGGATCTAAATATCTGTACAGGCAGTGGAAAAGGTTCTGTTCTGTTCATAGCTTGTCCCTCAATGTTTCGCCACATTCAATGTTTCCGATCAACAAGGATTATTTAGAACTACTACGAGGAGGAGATTACACATGGTTCGTTTCTCAATTCTTCGACAATAAGCACTGCTTTCACCACTGAGCATCCAATCATGTAATGTAAATGTATTATTGCCCACTAGCAGAAAAAAAATCCACGTCATTTCTTACATCATAAGCTTTTTCGACGTCTAAAGTTAAGTAAAAACAAGTAGCGAAAAAGCAAAGTTGGGTTGCAGCAGGCCAGGAACGCCGGAAGGGAGAGGAGAGAGGATGTCATCACTAATGGCATGGACGGAATGAGATGGACAACATGAACCCAGCAAACAACATGCTTACATAACAAGGAAAGAAAACATTGGGGATTTGGATTTGAAATTTGAGACAAACAATATTATGGAGAACGTTGAGCTGAAATCCTCACCGAGATTATTACCACTTGTCTCCTTCTCGGTGCACTTTCATTTTCATCTCGTCCCCACCGCACAGACAGCTTCGTGTCATCTTATCTTATCACACGGACAGATCACACTTTCTAAATAATACGAAGGCTTAAACCATCTTACAAACAACACGCTCCTGAAAAAGAGAGGCTAGGAATTTTCCAAACAAAACTAACTACACACTCACAAATTAAACCCATTGTCAATAGTGCCAAGGGTTTGTTCATCATTTTACCGATTTTCTAAGCGATAGACTTGCAGTGATATTAAAATTCGAGTCCGTATTTGTCTTATTGCAAAAGTTTTGGCTGATTTTCCACTCTGTGATGTCATCCATTTTTGTGCATGAAGTAGCAAAACGGAAAAATTTAAATGGCCACATATTACTTTTGAGTGAGATGAGATGGCACAAATCCAAAACGGGGGTGACTCAATGGCTTTCCAACATTCGAGGATACAGCCAAAGGAACCTGCCTGCGGTGAAAGTAACGGAAAACTCGCCTTCATCCATACATATTTGTAGTCAGTTCAGTCCAGCGTAATAACACGGGTTGACTTTGAAACTGTTCTTTCGTACGTCATAAGTCCCATAAGTTTTGAAATTTAAGTAGAATACGAATTTAGCATGGGTCACCATCCCTTGTGAATAAAAGTCCAAACGTAAAATATGCGAATTTCGGGACAGGATGTGCGGTCGAATAAAGAACAAATTATGGGCACGTCACCCAATTTATTTTTCTTTGGTTGACCGAACGACGAACCTATATTGAACACGGTATGAGTTTTACTCTCAAATAATAAATGTGACCAAACAATTACGAAGAGCGAAATTGCAAATTTGTGACCTTTCGGAAATGGACGAAATCACTCACTCGTTAAATCTACTTAATTTACTTTACAAACCATATGCACACGCAAAGTATATTCTTATCAACTTTGTCAAATTCTTCTCTTTCAAGTCGTGGACAAAATTATGGTTTGCATTAAATTGGTCTTGTTCCACTCATAAAATTGCCAAGATTGGAAGAAGCTTTCCCCAAATTCCCATAACTTACCCCACTCCCGACTGCAGGAAGGAAGTGAGGTTTAAATACTGAATGTGGTCGGGATCAGGATTTAACTGCGCGTTTCCCCAGTAGAATAATTTTGCATACAATATAGAACATTATACGCTCCTATTTCCTATATGACGAAGAAACGTTTACCGGATTTTTTTTTGCACTTTTGGTCGGTTGGTGAATGGATATTCCTGACTTGTCCTGTCAGTGGGTAAAGTCTCCTTGAAAGAAATATGAGGCGAGTGAAGTCGTCTTCGTCGTCGTCCCCGGCAGGAAAAAAAAACATGTATAATAGCAGAGTCAACCTGAACTGGGAAACTTTCTATATTTTGTGTGTAGTGCTATTACGTAAGAAAAGTAAATGCGACACCCCCGCAGCCCTCCAAGAAGAAGATGGAGAAAGAGGCGACCATTCGATTTAGATGAGATGGAAGATGGGACAAACCAAAACCAAGTACGGGCGGATGGCAATGGGGAAAGTTCAAACTTTTGCAGAGCCCATCTCCCTTCCCTTCATACACATACAAATATATGTACCGTAAGTTTCCCCGTGATCATATTGGTTTGGCTGGTGGGACTTGTTTTAGCCAGAATTTGAGGATATGCCATAAAGAAAAGGATTTCCGAACCATTTCCTCCTTGTTTTATAAGGATTGTGTATAGTTATGACAAACGAATCTCTCCCGCTATGATGATTTGTGCATTTTGGTTAACTGGAGTTTAACCACGACGGGTACTCTGTAGTAGGTGGTTGCATTGTCTCTAGGATGATAATATTTGTTGGTTGGTTATGTGGCTGTGAAGAGTATGAAGGCAACCACGTATTTATTATATAACGCACCTAAAATACTTGGAAGTGCACATAATACTCAAAATTCAACATATTTAGTTTTGATCATCACGATTCGTCGAGTGAAAGTGTGGCGTGGGCCGTTGTCTTTTGAACGAGATGACGATCTAGCCACCCATCCGTGCAAATAAAATCCTCTGTCTGGCTTGGATGGGTTTGAATCCACATTTACATCGTATACTTAAAGATTGAACAAACGATGGGGTAGTTAAAGCACTTGACAAACCAACCCTACAAAACTGTGGGGTGATTGCTCAGGAAAATCCAGTTGGATAATTTCAAGTGTAATTTTATGCTAACTTTTTGTCCAACTCATAATGCTATTTTTATAACTTTGTCATTTCAGAAGAGTCTTTTTTAAGTAGGTATTCAGTCAGATCGTAGGGAAACGATGAGACAAAAATGACTTTCACAAATCCCTTGAAATTGCCGTTCTTAAATTATTGCTTTAATAATACCACGCTGTTTTATGGTCATATTTCTACATGGTACAAATTATTACGTGATGGTTAAATTGCTTCATCATAGATATCTCTTCTTTTTTCCGGATTTTATTCCCTTGTTTTTTTCTACTTATCTGAAGAGTTTAATTACGATTCGTTTTGCTTTTAATTTACTTCGAGGTGTAATTATCACGATACGATCTTTGACAAAGAAAATTTACATTGCCGACTTTTCGAAAATTTAAAACCATGCACGTGCATCTGACCACACGTGCATGGTTTCAACTTTCGTTCAAAAGTGATGACGGATGACTCAGTTGATTGCCTAATTTAATTACCACTTTCAACAACTTGGCATTTCAATGAGCGAGCGAACGCATACCTTGCACGATAAGGTTTAGGACTGGTGTGTAAATAGAAAAGAAGAAGGTGTACGCAAACTTTATAATATTGACGTCTCAAATTTCACGCAATTTTCTCCAATGGAAGACTAAGAGCCCTCTTTCTCCCTATTATATTATTTCCCTGCGAGACCAAAAAGTGCTGCATATTTTATTAAGAGCACAAACATGAAGAGTGAAACCCCCACTTAAGTTACTCTCGAGGATCGAGGGGGACAGAGACCTCGCTGTTAAAAATGAAAATCAGGATACAAAATTAATTACATTTGCGAACCAGGAACTACTCACTCAGTCAGCCATACAATTATAAGTTGATAAGACACAATCCACTTTTACATAATACAAAGGGGCGGGTGCGTCGGGGAGGCTTTGTTGTTGGTGAATAAAGATGCTTTTTATTTGTCAAGAGTTCCTTTGTGGTCAAGCCTTCCAGCTACAATTTTCTACTTTCAAGTATTTCGCCCCCTTATAATAATAATGAAGTGAAGAAGAATTTGTTTTTGGGGTAAACATTTTGGTGGAAAATATGAGAACATAAATAACCAAACCACGTTGTATAATGTACACGTGTACCAGCGATGATCGTAATATGAAATTTCCCTTAATCATCACTTTATGCTATGCATTTGGTCAACGAAAGTATTAACAAAGTCAGAATGAGAACCTTTTTCACCTTGAACTGGAGTAATTGAGAGTGGAACATGATACCATGAATGAATGCATGGGTTCATAAGTCCATTCTATATACAAACTAATAAACAAGGTTTTAATAAATATACCATACGCATAGCCGCATACAAATAGAACGGCACATGAGCTGACAGTCAGCCCACCAGATATCTGTATGTACACAAGATGATGAAACTGCAAATTGATGACAGAAAATAAACATACCCCACTGTTTTAAAATTCATGGTAAAAAATTGAATATCCAAATTTTTAATTGTCATTAAATTTTGTTAATTTTTTATATTCATTTTGCAGATAATACGATACCTATTTGAACATGCGTAAATACGCCGTTTCAACATTTGGTCGGAATTACGTTGTCGACGAAGGATTTGAAGAACTTCCCCAGATTCGCTACGTGTTCATCATTGTCACTCTTCTCCTCGGATTTATCTCCCTGTTTAAATTTCTACATCACTTTAGAACAATCACGGTCACAAAGGAGAAAACATGCAATTATTTCCCCCTCAGCTCATCCGCTGTCCGAATCGTAATCTGCTACGTTGTGAGCCATACCATCCACAATCTCCATTTCGCCGACAACATTTATCGTCCCGTCGACTACTTTGAGCCAAAGTGGTTGTACGACAGATACCTCTTCTCCGAAATGGAAATTACATTTTTCTTAAACTTTCCCATATCTTTGTGCGGTTTAATCTTTATGCAACAATTTGTGACTGCATCGTCGAAACGAAATTACCCGCAAATTTCGGCATCTTGCAAAAAGATGACTTTCTACATTATCGGATCATTCTTGACCCTGGGACATTATCGGATTGAGCCTCCGTGGAAGTATTCCGCCTTTGTTAACTTCACAATTGCTGGGGAGGGTGTGGCCACATTGCTTTTAGCCGTTTGGCTTTACAAATATCATAAGAAAACGGTCAGAATGTCGGAAAGCGATGTTGAGGAAGATTCTCTCCAGTTACTTAATCAAGGTCATTCTAAATCTTTGTGAAAATGTAGTAAAATAAAGAAATATAAAATTACATCAATTTCGAAAAAGTGTATTTTTTCATGCATCTTCATATTTTTTCATACTACTAGGATTGACATTTGTGGTGTGTGGGTGATACGAAAAGGTGCACAAAGTTGCTTCATCCCCTCCTTCATTTATCCTCCCTTGACTTTTACTCGCTATAATCATCACTCAATTTCTGGAAGTGAGTGAGTGCGGCGGAGTGCATTTCTTCGGTTTCAGTTACCCACCTTTACTTTCCCCTCACTTCATCAAGATCAGAATCAACAAATAAAACAGAAAAGTCATTAGATCGGATGGATTGAGATCGCAGTGGCGAAAAGGGAAAGAGACAAGACGTAACGAAAGATAGCTTTCACCGATATATAAGCAAGCTGTATTATACAACAACCATCTGATAAAAGAAGAATTGCTCCCCTCAAGCTCCCCTTTGATATCTAATTAATTAACAAATTACATCCGTCCCATTTTTCCATATCGGACCTTATAACACTTATGTAAGGACTGTTGCATAACTTGTTTGGTTACGCAACGTAATAAAATACGGTCAATTGACAATTAACTAATTAAGTTTTTTACCAAATTATGAAATCAAACCAAAACACGTAAATATTCCGACTAATCAAAATTAATTTGTGGGTATAGCAAACATTTTCTTATGAATGGTGCAAAATAACGCTGCAAGCAGGAGGGAAAGTGCATAAGACTGCTTATCCTGCACACCCTCCCACGAAAATCTCTCTCTAAAAGTGCACACACGAACCGATAATGTCCCCGTTTCACCCAGACCACTTCCTTAGTTACCCTTCTCCTCTCCTCCACCCCACCACCCAGACATTTCCTTGGCTGCGTTCACTTAGCCTGCTTCTATTAATACAAATAGAAAAGAGATTGAAAATTTGAGGACTGGGAGTCTCCTTTCTCTCTGATGGACTCTTGTGCGAGTGAGGGTTGAGTCTGACTGACTCTTCAAAACCTTGAGAACCGGATTCTTGAGAATTGTCTTGACCCCATCTGTCAAAACATGAGATAGCAACTTACCAAAAATCAAACCTGGCCCTATTCACTCTTCCGACAATCGCTTCTCATTTCACAATATCACCAAAACTGCCACACTTCCAGTGAAATTCAATTCTTTTCTCGAGATATATGTATCCACAGAGTCGTCCCTCCTTTCTGAGATTTTTTTCCCGTCCTCACCCGCACAGACAAGATGATGGGATGGGGCGGAAAAGAAATGTGGGTGGAAAATGAGAAATAGTTTTCACTCTGATTTCATGTCGATGTCATCATGGACGAGACTATTTCTAGATCTTTTTTTCTAATTTCAAATTTAGCTGAGTTGACGTCCCGAGGTTGGAGGAGAAAGTAAACTAAAAGAGGAAAAATTATCCACCTTGGAACCTTTCCTCTCGAGGGAGTTGTTGACAATGCTGATGGCATTGTTGACTCTTTCACTGGTCGACCAAGTCCTTGCGGTAATTTTCGTAAAAGCTAAATGAGATCGAGATACACTTGACTTTCTAAATTGGTGAACAATTACTCATTACAAATGGGAATGGAATGGAAAAAGTATGTTTTCTAGAAGTGAAGACGTTGCAGGTTGTGGTCTGTGTTTGATAAAATGCGTTATATATTTTCAAAATGAAGGCGATCGTAAACAACGAGAATAAACAAGGTGGTGAAAGTTGGGGAGAAAGTCCAATGGAACTTGAATTGCTTGATGTAATTGCTAATGGCAGAAGATTTTACTGGGAGAAAGTACTTATTTAGTTGAAGGCCTGGAGGGCCTGAACAATAGAAAGTCTGTCTGTTCTTGTTAAATAAAAATTAATTTAGATCTTTCCCGAGGTACAATAAGAGATAATAAAATGATTGAAATGCCTACAAGACGTACCATAATAATCAGGAACATTACGATATTTTATAATGCCTTGCCCGAGGACTAGAAATGTCGTCGTGTCATAACTCATACGTCTCTTTTCCCCTTAAACTTACCTCAATCAATTTCTAATTTTATCCGACCTGACTTTCTTCCCACTGTACTTAAAAAAAGCTTGTCGTCAAGAAATATGTACAGCGACTCGTCATCTCCTGAGATTAAATTGTATCTTTATTTTTGTAATCGCTAGCGGCAGAAAACTTCATTCTGAAGAAAACCTTCTCAGCTTTCGTAAAAAAACTGTCCCCTGCTCGGACTTTGAAATTTCTCACGTTGTTGCATTAAAAAAGTCCTTATTTGTGACTCTCCAAAGATTACCTGACGTAAAACTACTTTTGTACTTTCCTCATCCCTGCTTTCCACGTACATATGGTTCTTAGTTGCATTGTGCAACAAAAATACCTTGCCCACGAGCAGTAATCCCCATAAAAACATCACCAACACCACCCTTCCTTTGGGGCTTTGTTCATCTCACGTCCAGTCCAACCAGGGGTCAGATGATACCCCAACAAGCGCAAGGTTATCCACCACCACTTGATATATGTAGCAGGGAGCATAAGTTGACCAGACACATAATGGACGAAATGGTATGTGATGCACCAGACTGCAATTGGATCTCCATTCCGTGATGTTCTCAAGACGAAGATTTACAAAGTCAGGGAGGAGAAAGTCCAGTTGATCCACCAACTAAATGCACCAACAAGAGTCACGGCAACGCATCGGATGCACCAGTCCAACCGATGCATTTAAACTCTTCTGTCCACCATCTAATGATATTTCCCCCATGTTGTCCTCTCTTTTCTTTGTCAGAGTCAATGCTAATGTCCATCTGTGACCAGGCATTTTCACAGAATAAAACACGCCTTTCATTCCATCACTAAAATCCAATGGATTTCTCCTCCACGATTCGAAGAGGAGAAACAACAACAACAACGTAGCATTCATCTCTCTCTCTCTCTCTTTATTCAATAAATGGACGCAGTCAACACCACCACGACCACGACCACCCGATCCAAATGGACAGGTCCTGCAATGCCTGAAGATCAAGAAGTCTAAAAGCCTAAACCACTAGAGATCTTCACGAGAAGAGACAAAATGACCAACATATAGACAACACAAAACCCCACCCAAATCCAGCACGACAAACATCACGCACCCGGCAGCTTCTTTATATGACTATCTCCGAGAGAAGAACAGTGAAAGCTCGGGGAGAGAATGTAATTTAATGTGATATCTAAAGTAATCTGATATGATGCTACTTTACTTACTTTGCGGTTTTCCCCTCGACTCATCTAATCTTGAGTTGCATGGGTTCGTTCGGTGTTGCTGTGAAAGTATGGTGTAGCCTTCTCTATTTTCGTTAACTGCGTATGGACGTGGACGTGGTGGGGTTAGTGTTATTTAGAAAAAGTCCCTCTTGACTTTCTCTATCGCCTTTTATCTCATCTGTCTCTGAGGAGTGTAAACAAAATTTTTTATTTGCTCCGACTTTTCCACTCTGAGATACATACATACGAGAGACGTATGAGTTTGAACTTTAAAGGGGACGACGATGGTGGTCATGCTATAAATCTTTTATTTTATCATCAATGACGTTAAGAGAAGATGTCCGTGTTGGGAAACAGGGAAACTACTCATTTATTACACGTATGTATGTCCCTACGCCCATTTCCAGTTGTTCGTGATGCAAATAATGAGAATGAGAATGGATTCTTATATAGATTTCTATAGCTTTACAAGTTACTACGTAGTGTAGAACGCAGTAAAGAAGTTGACAAGGAAAGTGACGCTTGATGGGATACATAAACCAGAGCAATTTTTTGCCTTCATCAACCAAGCACTACGATTCCGCGACAAAACAAAGATGGTGGGTTTTTACGTGTTTTTTGTGATGACGCCAACATAATAGCTTGTGGTCCGAGTTGACGAGTCGGTACGAAATTGACACTTTTACGAAGTGCTCGTTTGATGGCATGACTTCTCGTACAACGAGATGTATCAAAGACGCATCAAAGGAATCTTTAGAACAATTGTCTTATTAGAGTTTCTTAAAACAAGCGGTCTAAAATGGCAAATTTTTGCTTATTGCGAAAATGAGTACAATTGATGTAATTAAATAAATGCATTAGCTGGAAATATTTGACAAAATGTCAAAGTTTAGTCTATTGCTATATTAAAGCCGCACTAATAAATATTTGCATTACACTATACATATTTTAATATGTAAAAGAAATGCCCAATAGGAAAATGAGACGCAATAAGTACTTCATGAGCAAATCAATTATCCATTCCGCGTAAAGAAAACAACACTTGTCATTGATCTGTTTAAACTTTATGCTGCTGAATCGTCGAATTTAGAACAAAGCCATTTTCTTAATGGGACTCTCAGAGACAATGTTTACTAGCGAATTAGACTCTAGAAGATCAGCATTTAGTTCTGAAATTGGAACAACAGAACATGTCTGCATGTATACGTTGTTTGTTTCTTGGAGGTGATTCCAATTCTCGATCGAGTTCAACTTGTTCGGATCCCGGCATCTGTTTCATATCACATTCTTTCACCCGCTTCTTCTTCTGAAGGTAATTCTCAATGTTGCGAGACTCGTAAAGTCGTGATCGTAAAAGTAAAAAGTTATTTCTCTCCCTTGCACAACTTACTTGTACATACGACGACTGGATTTCTCTCGCTGCTTGTTTGGTCAATACGGCGAGATGGCATTCGCAATTTGCAATTTGGCAAACATAATCATTACCATTACCTACCTCGTACTACTATCTATTACGTCTTCCTTTCAACAACAAAAGACCAGACTCGACTTTCACCAGCCAATTGAACTTAACTCACTGATCACTTGAGTGACACCAGCTGCACGGCCTTAGTCGTCTTCGTCGTGACACAATTGTTTCAAAGTGCTGCTAATATGAGATAACCTTGTATGATAATTAACGAGCACCTAAATATGTATCGTTATGAGAGATAAAATTAGAGCTCATATTAACGATAAGAGACTATCACACAGTGAGTGAGATTCCATATTTAGGTTCATGAATATAATGTAATTTTATAATATATT